GTGTATGATTATAATCATAATTATTGCTGTCATCAACATTATCATTATCATTAACATTGTTTTTCTTATTATTATCATAATTATCATGATTGATATCATCATGATCATCATTATCACTATTATTAACATTATCATTGACCAGTATTCATTCCTATAAATCAAGAAAAGGTTTGAATGAGAATGAATATCTTTATACTACAATCAATGCACTTGACCGGTTTCAATTAAAGATAAGAGTTAATGAGGAAGATATAATAGAGACTGGTTAGTTACCATTATTATTATTATTATCATTATCATTATTATTATTATCATTATCATTATTGTTGTTATTACTATTATTATTAGCAGTAGTAGTAGTATAATTAGTATTGTTAGTATTATTATCATTATTATTATCATTATCATTATGATTATCATTATCATTATTTCTACTATTATTATTATAATCATCATTATTATTGACATTATTATTAGTAATAGTATTATTATCTTTGTTATCATTATTATTATCATTATCATTATTACTATTATTATTAATATCATTATTATTATTGCTATTATTTTTTGTTATAATTAATAGTATCCTTACTATCACTATTGTTATTTAGACTATTGTTGTTATTATTATTATTGTTATTATCATTATTATTATTATCATTATCATTATTATTATGATAATTATTATCAATATCACTGTTGTCATCATTATTTTTATCATCATTAGTACCGTTGTTATTATTGTCATTATTACCATTATTATCATCATTATCGCTATTTAAATAACATTATTATATGTATTATCATCATCATCATTATCACTTTTAAATCATTTTCATCGTTTTACTGTCATCATTTTATTACTATCGTTGCTATTACTACTGTAATTAATTTTTGTTATAATTATTATCATCTTCATTACTAACATTGGTATTTTTGTTTTCATTCTAATTCTTATTCATATTCACATTCTTATTCTGATTCTAATATTATTATAATCACTTTTATAAATTACCGTTATTACCATTATTATTATCAATGCCATTATTATCATTACAGGTATTATTATCATTATACTCAATATGATCATACTCATTATGATTATTCTTAAAATTCTAATTTCTCTTGTTGTTTAAACTATCATTGTCATTATCATTATTATCAGTATCATTATCATTACTATCATTACTGTCATCATTATTATCATTACTATCATTATCAATATCATTATTATCATTGTCAATACCTTTGTTATCATTATTATCATTATTACTATTATCTTTATTATCATTACTCCTATTATTTGCATTATTAGTAGTATTATTGATACTATTATCATGACCATTAGCATCATCATTACTATTGTTACTAGCATCATTATCATTGCTGGTGTTATTATCATCATCATTATTATTATTGTTGTTAATATTACTGTTATTATTATTATAATTATCATCATTGTTAATATTTCTACTATTATTGCTACTACTACTATTATTATTATCTTATTATTATTACTATTATTATCATTATCATTATCATTATTATTATTATTATTATTATTATTAGTAGTAGTAGTAGTAGTAGTAGTAGTAGTAGTAGTAGTACTATTGTAGTGACCTGTTTTATGCGAGTTACCCCAAAAATTGGTAGCGCCCCCTAGGTTTCGGGCTTGTCCCCGCAAGGAGCAACAAATCAGGGCGACCACGTGTTCTCGTATATTGTTTTTAACGATCTTTTCTTTTATTATTTTATTTTTAATGTATAGCACTTGTGATCAAGACTAACCTAGTTCTTTTTATTGTTTTATTGTATAAGTATCTATCTGGTTTTATGTTGCATTTTATACACCCCGTTTTCTATTGTTTTCGTTTGTTTTATCGCTTTTATAATTGTGTATGAGTTTTTTTTTATACTTTTATTTCATTAATTTTCACTTAAAAATTGTAAGGTCCAGCGAACCAAAACATTTTAACGCATTGAAAGATTATTGTTTTTTGTAATAACGAACCAGACACTCGGTAATCGCCTGCGGCGATTGTCTTTGTTTATATCGGGAAGGGCAGCCAAAACCAAGTGTCAGAATTCTTGCGTCCGATCTCTGGAACCTGTGTTGTTTGCTTGCAAGGCCCACCGAGTCTCCGTAATACAGATAAGTAGAGTTTGTTTCGGCCAAAGGACGTAAGATTTTAATTAGTTAAATTGGAAGTGCTTTGTTTTACTTTTAGTTATTTTGAGCTTTTGTTTTACTGGACCGTCGTAGTTATTTTTATGATATTTTAGTTCGTCGTAGTTTTTTCAGTTTTTATGTGCTTTCTATTTCATTTAAGTTCTATTTTATTTAAAAGTTCTGCTTGTTTTAGTATTTTTCTTTCAGTTTTGTATTTACTCTTTTGCTTGTGTTTTACTTATACTCAGTTTTACTTTGCTTAAGTTTTATTTCACTAAGTCACTTTTACTTGTTTTATTTATATTCAGTTTTACTTTACTTAAGTTTTAT